TACCTTTATAAGAGAGTTATCTGTTTTTTTTTCGCCTAAAAATACTTTCATGCGTATTTCGTTCTCGATAATGTGTTTTATGGGTGATTCCGCAGTTTTTTAATTAGTTTGAAAGTGATAACTTTCCATCAATCTTATAGATGCTTAGCAGGGTGAGCAGTAGAAAAAAAATCCAGTTTTCGTATCCAAAGCGCACCCGACATAGACCTAACAGCGGGTCTGCGCGCAATATGCCCTCAAATTCTCTCTGCTATGTTTTCATGAGCACGAAGTAGATAATAACATTGTTGTACGTATGAGAGTCCGGATGCAATGGCTGCAAATTTTCGCAGGTCCTAGCATGCAGGCCAATTGAGAACTTCATCCTACAAACCGATTTGCAAGAATCCTTAAACTTATTTTTTCTGACCGTGATGCTCATGTGAGTCACAAGGCAACATACAATACAGGGTGTTTTCACTTCTAGCAGCTAAATAGTGGCAAAAAATTAGGAAAGGTACCAACTGGTAAGTATTTTGGGATTGCCGAAATATTATCATTGAACCGCGAAGATTTATGCTTTGAAAACGAAGCAAAATGTAACTTTGCGAACAAATGCGAGTATAGTGTGCAAACTTCTTTTTATTTAAATAATGCTTACATCATTTTGAGTTTGCAAAAATAACATCAATCAATTTTAAAGGCAAAAATTTTAGCGCAGGCCTTCTGCTAGGTTTATGTCGGGAGCGCTTTATATATGAAAACTCAAATTTTTTTCTAGTCTTCACTTCGCTAAGCATCTATGAGATAAATGGAGCCCTATCGCTTCCAAACCATTCAAAAAACTGCGGAGTCTTTCATAAAAACACATTCTCGGGAACAAAATACGCGTGAAAATATTTTTGAGCGAAAAAAGCAAGCTTTTAGCACTCATCAGCGATTGACTTGATACAGAAGTTTCCAGGATCAAAGGAAATTTTTTTTGAAAGTTTTTTCGGAAACAGTATTTGACAATCTTGAGCTCGTGCATCAAAAAGCTTCGAAACATTTTTACGCTAAGTACCCTGCCAGTGGGTGCGTTTCGGTGGGTCCCTCAAGAATGTGCGAGCTTTCGTAAAAATCAGTGATAATGCAAACTGTGAGTTTTCGTTGCTATTCTATATGAATAACCTTATAATGGGCGGCGTAGCAGGAGGAACCAAAGGCCTTGCCGCCATATCCGCGGGGGATAATCAAGAGGAGCAGTGCGGAAAAGATTTGGCAATGATCCAGAACTATTTGGCAAAGAAACTTACAGAAAAATTGTAATAATGAATCCCCGTAACTTTGTCTGAGAAAGGGCTGAAGAATTATGGAAACAGTTTTGGATTTCGCTTTTTAAGACCTTCACGAATAGAATAAGAACACAAAAAATGATAGTTTCAGAACGAAAAATTTTTTTCATTTGGAAAATCGCTGGAAATCTGGAAGGCAAACTCAAAGCTGGCAACTGAAAAATGGAATACTGCTACTGGACAAACGAAAAAATGTTTATTACAGTTGCTGGAGAATTTGGATATTAAATGTCAGAAACAGCCCCAGAAATTCGATTCACTCTGATAGCTTATGGAAATACGTTCTGGCAAGGTCCATTTTTCAAATCTTTTTGAAATTGTTCTTCTAATCAAAATGGTGAGACAAAAATTGAGATTCAATTTTTTTTACATCAGTGTAAGATTTTCTTACAGGTTCCAAATCTGCCGAAATTTTCAAACGATGTGTTTTGACGTTTGAAATTTGAATAAGATTTGTTAAACATAAACCATTCGATTCCTACGCTGCATGCACGTTTTTGTTGATACTTGCAACTGCAGTTTAGAAAATTATTTTGGTCTTAGGAGAAGTGCAGAATAATCCTAATTTGTTTCCAAAGTCATATGCTATCATAGCTCTTTAGTTGCGCGACGAAGTTTTCTAGCAAGATTAGGAAGTTGTAATGTAATGTTTTGATTGAGAAATTAACGACATTCAGCATCCGTTTATTTCCTAAATGAATTCGCCATAAGAGCTGATTTCAAAATTGCCTCACTTATCTTTTGAATACTTTTCCAAGCAAAGTTACAGTGGTTTACTTTCTGAGGATTTTCTCTGGGTTCTCTTGCCAAGTTCTCCTGGATCTTTGCCAAATCTTCTCTACAGTGCTCGCGCTCTTGATTATCTCCTGTGAATACAGACGGCTGAGCCCTTGGTTCCTCCTGCGCGTCCTGCATTATAAGCATACGTACCAAAGGCGGCGGCCCAGGAGTTCCTAAAGCCTCGCCGCTTTTCCTTGCAGGGGTACTTAGCACCTCCAAGGCGCCTCGCACTTTTAGACGGCTCTGCCCATTTGCCCCGCCCACCGGCTAGTCTCATTACGAGTCGTACAGGTTTGGGGGATACTTCTCAAATGTTCTGGATGAATAATGATGGATGAAAAGTGTTAATGAGTTTATGTTGCTGCTTTGTGCTCGAGTTCATGAGCTTTAAACCTAAACGTAAAAACCCTCAAACAAGGAACGTCGACTAAAAAAAGAAGAAAAAAAGTTCACAATTTTTGTGTCTCGGCCACAAAAACGATACCCCCTTTGCTTTCTTTTCTAAAAACGATATCCAGCTTGCTTACAAGCCACCTGTGTGCCGAGCCCTGTATGGTACTACTTTTGCAGAAAAAAATTTAGGGCTAAACATCCGCTGAAGTTTTGTAGATTCTAAAACGCATGCCAAAACGATGATAATATAGAGACAAAAACTGTGAAAAATATTCCTTTGTAGAGAAAGTTGTACCAAAAATATCACTCAATGCTTACTTCGAGTACTGTAAGGCCTTCGCAGGTATGCTAAAGTGTTTTTACTTATAAAATTCAGTAATAAGGGGATTTGCATTGTAAGGACGATTTTTCACGAATTTGCATGCCATGATTCTTCGCATTTGCACGTCTATGTTATTCCCGCACCCCTCAGGCTCCGAATGAGACCGTTAGGGGAATAGATCGATGGGCGGACCTTGACCTTTGCGCGAAGGTGCGAGGGGCCTTCTGGAGTGTGAATGCTGACGCGAATGGAGGTGCTAGGAACTCCTGCGTCCCCTCCCGTACCAAATCCTTTCTATGCTGTTTTACTAGACTTTGAGTGTAAAAAGGCAAAACTGGAAGACGTTTAAGACACTCTCTACAAACATTAAAGGATTTGAAAGTCCCCTTCTTCCTCCTGAACAATCTCATCTGGATTTTGTGGACGCGGCAGCCGATGTCTAGCAAGGAAGTTGTGGATATCAGAAGCTGGGGTGCAACAAGTGGAAACATCTGTGCTGAGCGCGCACGCAATGTAATGACAGATTATCTGAGATTAAAAGTTACAAACTTAGTACCTGCATAGGTGAAAACCGAGATACAGCGCTGGACATAATTATAAAGCCACTGTTGGTGCAACAGTTTTGTGAGTTTTTTCAATTTATTGGCAAGAACGCTAGAACGAAGATAAACAAACACTTCAAGAAGTATCCGATGCAGAATTTTTTCCTGTTTCCAGCCGCTAAACTCCCATTGTGCTTCGTTAAGAAAATGACGAGATATTTGCCGGAGATTACAATCACTCGTTTTTACCATGTCCAAATTTCACTTATTTTCAAACTTTTTGTATAAGATTCTTGAAGGAGCCCTAATAACCTCCAGATAGGGCAAACCTTTTGCTAACAGAAGCAATTTTTTTTTCTTTTTTTTTAGCTGCTTTTTCAGAATTTTGCTAATAATTTTCTGAAAGCCTTGTGTTTTGGAAAAATCGCATAACTTCTCATTGTACCAAACACTGCAAAACCTACAGACTACTGGGATTTCAACACTCGATTATTACTACCGCCACCATTACAAAGTAAATGAGCGATTTTCGCTTTAAATTATGAAGATTTTGAAACATAGGTTACGTCAGTGCGCACTCATGAAATTGAGAAATACTGCGATTTTCCCCATATATTTCGTAGAAATTCTAGGAGACAAGGCGTAGGCTACAAAAAATGGCTTTTGTTGGCAAAAGGTTTGCCCTATTTGGTGGTTATTAGGGCTCCTCCGAAAATCTTATACAAAAATTTTGAAAATTAGTGAAAGTTGGACGTGGTTGGTTGTAATTTCCGGCAAATATCTCGTCATTTTATCAATAAAACATAACGAGTTTAGCAGCTGGAAAGGGAAAGAAATTCTGCATCGGATACTTCTTGAAGTGTTTGTTTATCTTCATTCTAGCGTGCTTGCCAATGGATGGAAAAAAAACTGACAAAACTTTTGCACCAAGAGTGGCTTTATAGTTATGTCCAGCACTGCATATACAATCTCTCAAAAAAGGATATGTATAGATTCTTTAAGATTTCACCATTCGTTCTAGTAATATACGAATTGTTAAAAAAATATTAGGGGTCGGATTGGTCGAAGCGTTTGATTGCATGATGCGTTTGATGAAGATGGCTGACTCACTTTCAGGCCTCTGAGGACGGCGTATCCGCTAAAACGTTGAACAGCACAATAAACTGTTGCTATAAAAACCTGTTGTGGCTTAACATTTTTGATTTACAGGGAAAGAGATTGTGACATGACTTCTTGTTAATCAATTACTTTATTTTATTAAACAAAAAAAGCGAGAAATCTCTTTGATTTTTCAACGCCAGTAGATGTGTCGCACAAATAATTCAGTAGGTACAGCTCTTTTCCATAGCAAATCTTTCGTATTGAGTGCACTACTACTATTTTGTCGCATCCCAAGATAATAGAGGCAGACAAGTGCAGCTCATGTAAGCAATCGATTTTCGATGGCAAAAACCTGGAGCAGCTATTAAGTTGTTCGATTTTTGATACTTTTCACGCTGATATCGATACAATGATACTGGCATAATTTTCCGCGACCATAGTTGAAGGATAATCTGTTTTTGGAAAATTCAAGTGCTTACCGCTGACCTAACACAGAGCAACTGCTCCGTGGAAGAGCAGTATGTGAATAATAAGAACATACATTCAGAAATGAATATCTTACAACCGCCAATGATCCTTCTCCTAAGCCTAAGTGTTATTCAATTTATAATTCTTACTCAATTCAACTGGCGTTGTGCTGAGAAGGCTGACTCGTCAAGGAAATATGTGGGGTTTCGAATGAACAAAGGTCGATTTGGAGCTCAGGTGACTTAATGAATGCTAAAATTGTACCAATAATCCTCTTCACTTCAGCTTTTTCACCTCATCTCCGGTTATGGAATTGCAAGAACCCTAAACAGAACTCATTATTTGTCGTTGCAAGATGGTTATATAGCTCACGTAGTCAAATTTTTGCGCCAATTCAAAGATGTGTTTCCACGTTTGCAGGACACATTTGTTTTGGCACCAGTAAGTGTTGGCTTCTTCTAAAAAAGCGATGACGAATGTCAAAGAGTTAATGTTTCAAAGTGAAACAAAATTTTCGGTTTTCCTGACCCTATTCTTAAAATCGCAACCTAAGCCTGATGATCTCCTATCTTCAAAAGAAATCTCGATTATGTAGTGGTGCTAAAGAAAAAGCCGTTTCTAATGTTTTGGTTGTTATCATATCATTTCATACTTCAGTAGCAGTCGTAGCTAGGAGCGGCAAGCGTTGTAAGAAGCTTTAAAGGTAGGAGCAACGAACAAGCGTTTTATGCCATAGGGTGCGAATATCCATTATTCGCGCTCGGTGATTTGTAATTACTGAGATTAACACTAACAATAGCTGTTTTCAAAACTTCATTTTCAATAATTGACTAGCAATCAGGGGAAAGTAGATTATAATATGTATGAAAAAGTTTGGTGACTGACGCATAATAAGTATTGAAGCAGTCTTACGAAGATCAAAACAATGTTAATTTTTTTAAAGCTCATTTTAATGAGCCCCTTTTTCAAGCAAGCAGCATGGAAAATTTTTGAAATGCAGTTTACAAAAAGACGGTACTCTGCACAAGCTCAAACGATCTTATGCCTAGAAAAAATTTGTTAGAATACAGAAAGAGCGGGAAAGACAAGTAAACTGAATAAATAAAGCTTAATAAAAATGTGTTATTTTTGGCTCTTTATGAGAAACTAGCTGGCTTACCCGGCTCCGCCGTATCCGGACCAAACTTGGCACACATACACTTCGGGCCCCGGCGGGTGTCACAGTCCACTTTTCGTTATCGATCGATGTCGATTTTACCGTTTTTTATCGATTTTTTTGCAGAGTTCACCTACAGGGCTAGGAGTTGGCACAGGGGGAAGTGAGCATGGGGATTTCGAATACAATATTAGTTTTCAGGATCGTCCATTACTTTTATTGATTTTATCGATTTTTTGTAAATTTTGACATGCGAGGCTGGGATTTTGCACAGGGGAGTAATCGAGCATGCTGATTACGAACACAATATTAGTTTTCAGGATCGTCCATTACTTTTATCGATTTTATCGATTTTTTTGTAAAGTTTGACCTGCAGGGCTGGGAGTTTGCACAGGGGGGTAATCGAGCATGCTGATCACCCCCCTTGGGGATGATCAGCATGCTCGATTACCCCACTGTGCCAACTCCCAGCCCCCTAGCTCAAACTTTGCAAAAAAAATCGATAAAATCGATAAAAGTAATCGATAATCCCGAAAACCAATACTGTATTCGGAATCCCCATGCTCGATTACCCCCCTGTGCGAACTCCCAGCCCCGGCTCAAACTTTGCAAAAAAATCGATAAAATCGATAAAAGTAATCGATAATCCTGAAAACCAATATTGTATTCGGAATCCCCATGCTCGATTACCCCCCCTGTGCCAACTCCCAGCCTCGTAGCTCAAACTTTGCAAAAAAATCGATAAAATCGATAAAAGTAATCGATAATCCTAAAAACCAATATTGTATTTGGAATCCCCATGCTCGATTACCCCCCTGTGCCAACTCCCAGCCCCGTAGGTGAACTCAGCAAAAAAATCGATAAAAATCGATAAAATCGATATCGATCGATGATGAAAAGTAGCCTATGACACCCGCCGGGGCCCGAAGTGTATGTGTGCCAAGTTTGGTCCGGATCGGTTCAGAAATGGAATTTTCTATTCGGAACATACGTACACACATACATACAGACAGACAAACAGACATTCAGCTTTATATATAAGATTGGCTAGCGCTTGCCGGCTTCTAGCGCCGACTGTTGGCAAGACTCTAGCGTTTATTCCTTTTTCAAATCAGCTAGTAAAGTGACTATCCCATAAAACTACTAAGGTGATGTTTACTTGTTTTACTACTTACAACATTTTATGGTCTTTGGATAGTGCAAGGTTTCGACGTTTTACTACAAAAGCAGTATTTCTCACATTTTTTCTACATTTAGTCGAGAAAGTGTAACCAAAAATCTGTCTTCTTTCAATTCTCTCTCTCTTTAACTAAATATTGTACATCATTCATTTCATTTAACATGAAAAGTTTTATGTGATACACGATTATAGTTGAAAGTTTAACTCAATATCTTACTTTTGAATTTGTAAGTAACTGTTATTGCTGCCAGCTTTACTAAGGTTGACCCGATCTCACTTATCCATAAAAGCTTTTGCTGTCCGATGTTCTATTTTGACTCAAGTGGAACGCACTGATAGTGTGTGTATGATGTGTATGGTGTATATGGTGTGTATAGTGTGTATGGTGTGTATGTTGTGTATGGTGTGTATGGTGTATATGGTGTGTATAGTGTGTATGGTGTGTATGGTGTGTATGGTTGTGTATGGTTGTGTATATGCTCAGATAATAGTCGCAAAAATCGCATGGCAAGCGGCCATGCGATTTTTGGACAAGCGGGCACCGGAAAAATATTAGGCTAAAAACTAAGTTTTGCAACCGGTTTCATAACTTCACTCTCTTTGGATATGGCGCACTCGAACTTTGGAATTATTTAGAAGGCAATGTGAGCTACAAGATGGCACAAACTGTCTAAATTTTGAACACAAAATAGAAAAGTTTCAGACGTTTTTCGAAAAGTAGTGAAATTTGAGAATTTTTGGGGTTTCAAGCTAAAATGAAGCCTTTGACAGCCTAAACCATGCGCAGTAATTCGGATTCGTCTACATCTCATTGCTGAAGGTTGACTCCTTTGGCCTATTAAGAAAGAAACAAAATTTAGGGGTACGTCGAGATTCGGCGTCCTCATAAAGTCGAAAGAGTCGATGTACGCAAGAGCTGCTGGGGACGACCGTCAATGACTAAAGAGTCCGAAGCTGAAATTACGCCGAGACTTCACATAGTAAGGTTGTTTAACCTGCCAACGCGTATATCACATTCATTTGTTCAATCAACGCCTTTTTCCTTGTTTAGGGTGAGACCCTATATCGTACACCTACAGTAATCCTACAAAAAAGCCCTTATCACGCAATTTCACTATAGTTTTCGTGGTCAGCATGTCGGATAACACCCCTATGCCAAGTTTCAGCCAAATCCGTCAAACTTTGCATTTTCCCCTTCATACCATGCACCTACCGCAACCCTCACTGCAACGTCAGAATTTGGTAGGACAGCAGCTGCGCTTGTAGCTTACGTAATGACCAACGCAGTGGCAAAATTTGAGTGCGCCATGTTGAGTAAGAGGGAAGTTATGAGACCAGTTGCAAAACGCAGTTTCCAATCTAATAATTCGCTAATTTCTTGCAGTCCGCTTGCAGAAGTTTGGGAGAATGTTGACTAGATGTTTGACAAATGCTCGAAGAACTGTCGCGGTTTTCTGTAGAAAAGCTGCGGCGCAGTGGCCGCATTCTCGCGGACTTTTCGCGGGAATTTGCGAAAATATTGGGGGCCGCACGTTCCTTTGTAAAGGACCGCACAGCCCGTAGGTACCTTCCACAGAGAAAAAGTACCCCAAATTCGGATAATCAAACCAGCTATGAAACCTCTACTATATACTCAGATAATCGACGGGGATAGGAGGCCCGCAAACTTGCGCTTTTCTGCAGGGGGTCAGCAGAATTGGGGCGTGGCCAAACCTTCAGCGGGCGGTACTTCCTTTTCGCATATTGTGCCAGCGAGCAGTAATACAGCATTTCCTCGGCAGATAATTTCTTTCAGCGATCGCTGGCCAAACTTTCAGCAAGCGCTTAGACTCTTTTAATGCAGTTTTGGGGGTACGGCGAGCTAAGATGAGACTCTAATGAGACTCGCGGAGAGTCCGCGAGAATGCGGTCACTGCGCCACAACTAATCTATGGGAAAACCGCAACTGTTCTTCGAGCATTCGTCTAAAAATTAGCCAACATTCTTTCAAATTTCTTAAGGAATTTTTTAAATTTTCTTACTGTGCGTGAATGACGGTAGGCCTAAACATCAGTGCTGGTATCTTATATATGGGCTTATCAGACATTATTGACTGACATCATGTTGATAACATATTTATATCCTCAATGACGACCCCTCCTCTTACTAGCCCTCTACATCCTCCAGCTGTGGCGTTTCACACCCCACGCTTGACCCTGGTCATAACCATCATTGATCTCGTACAGACCAAGTTTCCCTTGTTGATTCAAGAAAAGCATGTGAGCATTATTTTCGCAATTAGCATGTCAAATAACTCCCGTGAGCCAAGTTTCAGCGGATTTTGAGGTTTCCAAATTTTGGGACACTTAAGTGAGGGTGTCATCTTCGAACATGCTAACTTTGTTTTAAAGGTGATTAAACTATTTCTTCTAGCACTCATTTGTACTACTACTTCTTTGCTCACCTTAAAAATCTTACCACAAATAATCTTCAAACTTTGGAATTGAAAGCAGCCAAAATTTCGTTTGTCCCATTTTCCGCTTTCACTTTCTCAAACTAGAGAAGGCCAATCAGGCTCAAATCACTTTTGTGAAAGTTACGAGAATCAGGCTATCGAATATCTGTTTTCGCCGCCTTCCCTCGCGATTCGCTAGTAGCGCAGACTTACAAAGGAAACGATACTTGGTGTCCGTGGCCTTTTGAGATGAAACGTATACCATCACATTCGTTTTGAAACGCTGATTCCGAATCTGACTTCCATTTCTGCTAATCGTCTCACTAAAAGAAGTCATGAAGAATTTTCGCGTCAATGGTTGTCTAAGAGAAATGCGACCACAGGTGCGATAAGCTGAGAATGACCCATCCAGGGTGAAGGGAGTCACAGCGGTCGCAGCCCCTCCGGGTGAAGGGTGTTTTAGTTGATCAAGAAATCACAAAATTGTCGACCGGTGGGGGGGGGGGGGGGAGGGGAGTGGTGTTCCCAATTTCTTCTTCATGCGGAAATCTGTTTCCTTGAATGTAAGTTTTTACTTCTTCATCTAAATAAGTTGAAACTAGAAAAGCAATCTTTGAAATAGTATAATTCATTGACAAATAAACTCCATGAAATTTACTTCCTACCCACCC